TTTTTTTTTTAAGAGTCATCGTTGCAACTGATTTTTAATTTCAACAATAATATTTCTAATTTTATTGTGATTTGAGTTAACTTCAGTATCAAATTCACTTATAAATTTTATATTCATATTTGAATATTGACTCAAATGATAATGTTTTCTATACCAATTGGTAAAAGTAATTATTATTGCAAAATTATCTTTCATAAATTTTTCTTAACAGCTAGCCATTCCAAGAAAATTATATTTCTATTACATTTATAGGTCACTGCCATTCAATAGTAGCATGGACTTTCTCATGATCTATGAATATCCTAATACAACTCATAATTTAACCTAAACATACTACAGATCTTAACCAAAATTTGTACTTTAAAAAATTTTTATACATTAATGATGTCTTAGTATTTCGAACAACGTTAAACGAGCCACGTGATGATATTTGCTTTTTAAAACACATTAATATATTTAATAAGAATAACCGCAAGTTAATTTTAATATGAATTAGACATTTGATTGGCTATAACATATATTAAATGTTATCTAAGTCATATCCTCCTCTTTTATCTTTAATTGATAATATCGTAATTTTAGGTTTATTTTTAAGAGCACAGATGCACCTTTTAATTGATTAAATAGTCACTACTTTGAAACAATAGCTACACATTTTTTATAATCACTTTGTTATACTCTATGTTTTATAAACTTTTAACTTAAATTGGAATAAGAATAACTAAAGTAGTAGACTCCCTTTGACTTATTCTTGTAAATTCAAGTTATAAACTTTTTAAATTATTTTTAGAGCAATCAGTCACCTTCTATAAAAAAATAATCAAACCTAAATGTTGTTTCATAATTAAATAATATTGTGTTGGATGGCTTCTTCCTTCTATAAAAAAATAATCAAACCTAAATGTTGTTTGATAATTAAATAATATTGTGTTGAATGGCTTCTTCTATAACTTGTTATATATATATATATATATATATAACATTAATAGATATTGTTAAGCTATTTTTATAATCTTTAGGATTAAATTTATTCTTCTTCTGTTAAAGTTGCTATTAAACATTTTAACATAAAATCTCTTCTTATTCATAGCTCATGTCTAATGTAACATTGATTAGTCATTCTTCACAAATCTTTCATTTTCCATTAACTTTATGAAGCTACTAATACTTGATGCAATTTGTAGAAACTTCATATCAATTTTGGGCTCTCGTAAAATGATAACACTTTTCATTGGTAGCACTAAACATGGGGCCTAGTTGGCCAAATAGTGAACTCGACCTCTTATTAATTTCCATCTGCCTTATGAAAGCTTCATGCATCCACGTCATGGCGAAAGGAGAAATAATTGTTCTTAAAAAATATTCCCAAGACCCTCTCAAGAAATTAAAAAGTGTATTTGCCTTAAATGTATCTCTTTGCAAGCCTAATCATCGTTGCTTTATTTCTCTCTTCAATAAAAACATAACCAACAATGCCTTTTAGTTCTCTGGTTGTTGCACTTCATAAAAGTTTTACTTTCTTAGTGTTCAATCTTTATTATTTGGGACTCTATTATACTCTCGAAAAGCGGCAACTTTGATCACTTAAGAAAATTTTAAATGTACATCTCCTCCACCCACTTTATTAGTAAACATTTTGTTCTATGTATTACCTATCAATTGAGCCACTAAATGAAATACTCTATTTTGCACTTAAAGCAAGTTCTATTAAGAGTAATCCAAATTATTGCCCATTAATGTATTTGCAGTAAATTTATCTTATGAAAATTCTATTTTGTAGTTAAATTGAGTCTCATTAAAGTATTGATGCTTATCATTTCATGTTTCAGGATGTCATATTGTCATATAGGCCTGCACAACACACACACACACACACAAATACTGCTCTTATATATTATCATGTAGTGTTAAAATATTGATAAGTTTTATAAACATAAAACACACCTGATATTGTTGAATAAAAATATTTACTTAGAAGTGCATGATTTAAATAACTCACATTCATGATCATAAGTATTAGATACTTTTGTTGCAATTTTTATTATGCATAAAATTGTCCCATTTTATTGTTCATACAACATGTCTCATTTTATGTAATTTATGATTTAATAAATATTAATTATTTATTTAGTTTGATCTGTCAAACTTGCTTGTTGAATTTTTATATATCAGGTTGTACTCAATAACTCGGAGAAGTGTTTTCATTGGATCAGATTTCCAGCAGTAAATTTACTTTTGACATTTTATACACTTGCTTTAGTTCTTGCGTCTTCACTTTTTTTGTTGGGTAATTGTTTCTCTATTATCATTTCAGTTTCATTTCAACCAATTTTCTGCTTTAGTTGAACTTTTATTAATAAAATAAAATTTATTTTTCATTGTTTGTTTTTGTTACTTGCATACGGTCTTTCTTTTGAGAACACAAAACATATTCAATTCATTTCAACATGTCTTGTTTTATCGGGTGCACCGCCTTCCTGATCTGGGGCGTAACATTTTAGGGAAAACAAACATTTTAATGAAAAGTGTAACAATATTAAAAATCTGATTTAATCTAAAATAGGCCTAATCAAGCATAATAAAGTACAAATGAAGTTTTTGTGGTGCTGCTCAATGGATGAAATGATCTTTGAATATTATATTTTGCAGGTTAAAGTGAGTCTCGTTAAGAGTTATCCACGATGCTAAATATTGCTCAATTTTAATATTATTAGAACATCAAGATGATTAAAGAATATTGCATGATCAATATAATCAAAGTAAACAACCCAATGAACTATTCTAATTTCTAATTTCTAGTTTGATGACCACAATGTTCATTAAAAATTTATAAATAGACATAATTTTTATACATTTAGAGAGGCCACAAGAAAAAAATTATAAATAGAAGAATTCAGAGCATGTCATCAAGAACCCAATTTCTATCATTGATACCAACACCGACATCAGCCATCAACGTCAATATTGTTGACTATAGTGGCAACCAAGGCTGACGTTCATCATTGACTATATGGCCTTACACCCATTGTTAACTTTAACTTGGAAGCTCGATATTGCCAATTTTGATGGCAATTGTTTTCGACCATGTTGAAATCCATCGTTGATATTAAAATTGACACACGTTTTTGTACCAATTTTGAAGCACGTGTTCAACACCAACGTTGATGTTAGTCGTTGCTAATAAGACCGACATATGTTATCAATATTAAAACTTGTTATTACTAATTATGTAGATGTATGCCATTTCTAATAAGACTAATGCCAATCATTGACACCAACACTAAAACGAATATTAACGTCCACTATTTCCACTAAGGTTGACATACACATATGATATCGAGTCAAACATTTGCCACCATGTAGCAAACATACACAATATACAACTGCACGACACATGAGCCTTGATCTTGTATTTTCATGTTCATGTTGACCCACTCACAATCTCACAAATCCAAACTGTTAACCTCATGATCTCATTAAGGTGCAACAAAACTCTATATGATCCATGATGTTGGCTACATTAAAAACCACTCCATAGATATTGTAAACCCTTATTTCATAATTAATATAACCCCATAAAAAAATATATCAATAAATAAAATAAAAATTATATTTCAACATTCAAATATTTTAAAAAATAAATTCATAAAATATCAAAAAAAAAAAAAATTAATCACATTAAATTTAAGCGGTCATTTCTATACATGCCACACAATTATTATAAATTTACTTATCCAATACTAAAACTTTCATATTTACATATATAATATTTAAATTTTAAACATCACATATAAAATATTATTATTTTTAAAATTTTTAAAATTTTTAAAATTTAAAAATAATAAAATATTATTATTTTTAAAATTTTTAAAATTTAAAAAAATATATATTTTTGCATGATTTTTAAATATGGAGGTGTTATAAATATAGAAATCAAATTAGGCGTTAGACAAGTAAATGCATAGAAGCTGTGTGCCGTGTACATAATATCCTTAAATTTAATTTACATTTTAAAAAATTTTAGAAGTAACAAAACAGCTTCGGAGGTTAAATTCCTCTCGTCATCGTTAAACCCCACGCACAAGGACTGTAGGCCAAAACCCTACTTAGGCAGTGGTCGGCGAACGAAGGTAATGGAGCTGTACTCCACTATCCTTCCCTCTCTCGCTCCCTCTCCCGCTTTCTCAACCACCTTAACTCGTGCTTCATGTTGCATTCTCCAGCTTCCCATTTCTATGATCAAAGTTTGATGTTTTCCTAAGCGGGAATAATGCTGCAGAATATTTTTGTTCAGCGAATGGCTTAGGGTTACTTAGCTTAGAGGTTTTTGGTTGAGGTGTTGCATGGCGCGTTAATTTCTCATATGGAAGCAAAAATTGTACACATGGTTGAAAATGACACTAACGATTACACTTGGTAATGTATTTTAAGCAGTTTGCATCGGATTGAAGTCTGGAGGAGGCCAAAAAGTGGATCTACTTGGTTGAAAGTAGCATTAGCTCATAATGCTGCTGATGGGCTAAACTCAAGGTGAGATCATCCTTGTGATCTATTCTTCCATGCAATGCTAGCGAATTAACTTTTATATGATCAGGATTATGTATTCTTTGTGTTGTTTCAGGGAATTTAGATACCTATATGCAAATTTCATGCAGTATAAATCCTCTCAGAGGTGATGCCAAGGATGAGACTTCCCTCACAATATGAAAAGGTGAAATATGTCTTGTATAGTTCTTCAGTAGCCATTAATGCTTGATTTTTTTGGTACTTTAATTATTTATTTATTTATTTTGACAGTAACCTATCTCAAAACATGGAGATTGAGAGGGCTTATGATTGTTGTCTTTGTTTATGCTGGTGTTTGTGTTTTAGTGGGAAGAATTTTTGAGGAATAATTTATTTTGAAACTTTTGAGTAGCCACTGTCCATTGAAAATGATAAGTGGAAATTTAGAGGTTCCACATATTGTGGAAAAGCGTTAAGCTTTATGCATTGTTGATGGTTGAAATCATGAGAACAATATGTTTTGTAACTCAGTGACATTATGGCATGAAGCCAAGCTATTATTTCAAAACACTAACTTCTCTTTTTCAATTACGAGGTTTTATTGAGAATAAAAACCATGGATTTTGTCTTCTTTTTCTCTTTCGGTTTTTTTTCTTCTGGTCACTGTCCGTTTGATTTGTGCCTGAAATTTTCAAATTGCAAAATTTCGTTCCTTGGCTAGTTGAAATTTTTGGTTGGCGGTACTTCATCAGGGTTTTTGAGAGGCTCAACCTTTTTTGCACTAATTGTATTATTCTTGTTATGTTTTTTGTACATCGAGGTTATTGATAAATTTTTAGGTTAGAAATGGCACCAAACATGTTTTTTTTGGCTATAATGTTCAAAAGCTAGGCTTTTTGTGTTGCTATGATGTTTGATCAGGTCTTTTTGGAGCCTGCATGGATCAAGTCATTGCATTAAATCTGTGTAAAATTTGGTTAATTCTCTACTCCTAGCTTTAATGACAAAAGTTTCTATATGAAGGTGCATATAGGGCCGTGGAAGTACTATTTTTTAAATGGTAATCACTATATTGATTCGAAGTCACAATGTGTTTCAAAAATATTTTGTGTAAGTTGATTTGGTTAAAAAACTTGATTGTCTTTCATTCTGTGAAACTGAATGTCTGCGAAACGAGAGTTTACTCATGGTTTAATAGTCCCATTTTTGGCTTATTTGAATTTGGATTATTTATATGGCGTCCTGATTAATGAAAAACTAAAGTGCTATTTGGTTGAGATGACAAATTGATGCTATGAGTAAGGGGGTTTATTGGATGGTTTGCAATTTCTGTAGATTATTTTTTTTATACTTACATACTATCATTTATAATCTTCTGATTTTTGGTGGCATAGGTTTAGCTGTGCAAGGGCGTGAATTTCATCACCATCATGCAAGGTGTGACGGCTAGCTGGATAGGGCAATCATTTGCTCTACCACAATGCAACGCTGCGAGGCAAAACAAGTCACGAAGTCGACGAACAAAAGAAGAGAGGAGAACATTGGTTGTGTCCTTTATAAAGAAGTAATCACTTTGTAGTGGATGGATGATATTTTCCAATTTCCTCTTTTTTTATCTTTGGTATAGAAAACCTGTTAAATGACCATAGATTTAGTAAAAGATAATATTTTTGCTGTTATACTATTTCTTTTTTTTTATTATTTGTATTCTGATTAATCTTTTTTAAATGGAAATAATTTACATTGATTTAGTCTGAATGATATAAGTTGACTATCACTCGCAATGTTTTAAAATGAACTATTTTCCTTTTCAAGATGGAGAAAAATGATGGTTCAATAAAATTACATTTGTGCTGATAACAGACATGATTAAATTATTTTTAATTCAAATGAATTCTTTTTCCTTTATTGAGAAGGTTTACAAATAGTCTTATGCTTTTGGTTATGCAAGGACTATCTTTCTCATGTTGCAAAGTCATTCTTCCGGTCATTGTATCCTGTTGTCTTTATCTCACTTTGCAAGTCCAAATATTCTGAGAATCTTCTCTTTTATACCTGACTCCCAATGATATCATACCATGGAGACATTAATTATACAAAAAAGGCCATTATTATCCTTGTACTGTCTGGTAAATGCTTAGCATTACTACTAACATGGTTTCAGTGCTTGATATCTAATTGAGTTCTTTATATTGACAACAATTATTGATACACAAAGGAAGCTTATACCATTGGATGACCAAACAAAGACTGTTGGATGAATTGATTCTTAGTGATTATATTCCTTTAAATTGGTATTTCAATCATTATGGTGATGAAGTGCTTCCCAGAAAGATTTGTATTATGTGGGGATCTTGTGTCATTGATATGCACTTTCAAGTGGTGTCTTTTATATTGATGGTAGCGTGCCATTGTGCATATTGTATGTTATGAAGTACAAATACTTTTGGAGAGACATACCGTACACAACATTAGACACTTGGCTTCATGGGAAATCTTGGAAAGAATGTTGAGCACACCAGTTAGTTTCCTATTTTTTATTTTTTGGAAAGGATTCGTAAGCTGCATGGACATGTTGGGCGAAATCAAACATTTTCAACACAAATTGGAGAGAATATACCACGCTAGCATACTATTCAACCAAATCAGTTTTATTTTAGACCCCCACCTCCCACCTCTCATATGTGCTTTATCATTTTCCTAAACATCAATGAGTTCATGCAATTTTTATTTTGATGCTTGAAAACATTTTTTCAAATATTGCTTAATATTTTGAAAAGTCATTAAGTTTATTGAGCACATGCACACTTTTAGTTATGAAATTTGAAAATCCAAATTAATGTTTTTATGTGTGGGCTGACAACGATAGGTATCTGTGTATGCCTTTATTTGTGAACATATTAAGTAATGGCTTCTAAATTGTTATTTTCTAGTATTTCCAAGATTTAGTGGGACTACATCACCTTTATATTTGGCCTGCTTCATGTATTGATATTTTTACTATGATTTTATGTATTTCTACAAAATTAATGTTCATGTTATGTATTCTACTCATCTTATTAGGTGTAGTGTGTTGTGTTTTAATTTTTTAAGAGACGTGGTAGATGGTAGATAAAACAATATCCATGAATTTCACTCTTACATATGTTTTTTAGGCACAAATCTTTATGGTCAATTATCTATTATAATATGGCATAGAAGTTTTGATTAATGCTGGTCTGCAAGCTACATGATGATCTATCGTGGTAGCTTTTGGTGAGATCTGCAATGTCTTGAATTGAGAAGTGAAAAATACGACCCTATTGGCTATGAGTAGATGTTGTATGATAACAAAAGTCTCGATCAAGTAAGGGAATGATGAAAACTTCGATCAAGATATGATAGTTTGATATCTTATGTTATTATGGATTTTGGTCACTTAGAAGATAGAGTTGCGTCGGCTATGAATCCCTTCTAGTTCTATGGGAAACCTTGCTGGCGGGCTAATTTAATGGATAAATGGTGGGCCTTATGCCTTAGCGTGCATATGACTCACAACCTATGAACTTAACCATTAAAGAATATCCAAGCTTTACCCTTTATTTGGTTATTGTGTTTCGAGGGCACATTTTTGGCATGTCATCATGGTCCAAAAGAAGATTTCTATATTCTTATTGATATGAGAAATTTGTTTGTTATCACATGCATAACCTAGATTTTGACATTGGCTATTTTTAAGCTTTAATAAAACGTAAAGTTGCGTTGATGACAAATGTATAGGGTGATTTTGTTGCTACATATATATATGTCTGTGTGTGTGTGTGTGTGCGTGCGTGCGGGCGTGCGTGCGTGTGCGTGTGTGCGTGTGCGTGTGCGTGTGCGTGTGCGTGTGCGTGTGCGTGTGCGTGTGCGTG